GGCAAGAGTGATATCTAGTAGGAACCAACCAAAATCTCTGTGCTCGCACAGCGAGACTGAAACGCACCACGTCTCCCTTCTGCCTCCCTTATTAATCTCTAGGCTGTGCCTTGGGCCACTGCTCCTGCTTCTGAAATATGTTTATTTTCTTCTCTTGCACCATGAGCATTTCAGAAGGGATTTAAACCCAGTGGGAAAGACCTGGAAGTGGATAAGGCAGTCCTGGATTCAACCCCAGATTTCTCATTCTGCTCACTCTGACTGCATAATCTGCTCTTCCCTTCAGGGTCTTGATTTCCAAAGGTAAAAAATGATGCTCATTCTTAGGGAACTTGCCTCAGAGTCTTTGGAATGGGGAAAAAAAAGGGCGGGGGGTAAAGTATAGAGAGTGCTTAGGCACAGTAAGTTTTTAATGATGCCTATTATTTGTTACTTTGGGTGCTGGGGATTGAATAGAGGCCCCCCCACACACACACACACACTAAGTACGTGCCCTATCACTAAGCCACACACCCRGGCCATTATTATTAGTCCTATTAAAACCAGAGCTTTGGGCTGRGGATGTGGCTCAAGCGGTAGCGCGCTCGCCTGGCATGCGTGCGGCCCGGGTTCGATCCTCAGCACCACATACCAACAAAGATGTTGTGTCCGCCGAGAACTAAAAAATAAATATTAAAAAAAAATTCAAAAAAAAAAAACAAACAGAGCTTTGAGGTAAAGCTGATTCCCTGCTTCCACTAATAAGTAAGGCAGAAGGTTTTCTGCTTCTGCTGACCAATAACATCTGCATGACATGCTGATGTCTGCAGCCTGGAAATTTCACAGTTCTTCCTCAGGATGAGTAAACATCACAGTAGGTTTTGCCCMAAAACCAGGAACGAACACCTTACAGTGGCAATGAAGGAGATGACTCTACAGCTCATATTCTGGTCTAGGGGTTCATATGCCACTTGGTTTACCATGACTGGTCCAAATTTATGCCAGATAGAGACAGGAATGTRGTAGCACTAACGGTCAATTCTTGAGTCTCAACTTTCATTCAAATCTACCCCACTTTCAATTTCTCATGGTAGGAAGCAAGAAATTGAGATTGTAGGTGAAGAAGGCACTAGAAGGAATACACTTCTATGGGAGGTATCCCCAGTGAGCAGACCAGGCTGCTATAGGGTAACAGATCAGGACATTTTGGCTTGTTTCAGTACAAATTAGCTACACCCCAGACACTGTGGAGGGCTCCACACAGCCTGGGGCTTCAATCCTCTAGGACTGCCGCCCTGCATCTCTGGTATAGCTTCTCGGCAGAGACCAGCAGACCTGCACAGAACGGAGGATCCTGGTCTAGGGATCCATATAGCACTTGGTTCACTGCTATTGGTCCGATCTTATGCTAATGAGGCAGAAATGCACTAATGCTATTGGTCAATTCTTGAGTCCTAGTTTTAGTTCAAGTCTACCCCACTTTCATTTCCTCCKGGCAGGAAGCAGTAGGTTGGGGTTGTAGATTAGGGCTGTAGGGGCTCCAGTGAACTCTGGCTGGTGTCAGTGCCGGTTCCCTGCACCTCTGACCCACTGCAGCTGTATGGTGGGCTCCACGGGACCCTGGGCATCAACCCACTGATGTAACAAACATCACTGGTGCCTACCTCTGAGGGAATAATACACGCATTTTATAATGTTTACTCTTTTTTTGAGTATGGATTCATTTCTGCAAACAGGAAAGAAAGAGTTTGAACTATTTTCTCAAGGAAACAAAGAAGATTAAAAAGAAACGCCTGGTCCTGTGGTTAATTCAGTGTTTCAATGAAGGGGTTCAGTGCAATTCCACTGTGAGTGTGGCAATCTGGGGCTAGGGTGATATCTAGTAGGAACCAACCAAAATCTCCGTGCTTGAACAGAGAGAATGAAATGCACCACGTCTCCCTTCTGCCTCCCTTATTATCATCTCTAGGCTGTGCCTTTGGCCACCGTTCCGGCTTCTGAAATATATCCATTTTCTTCTCTTGCACCACGAGCATTTCAGAAGGGATTTAAACCCAGTGGGAAAGACCTGGACGTGGATAAGGCAGTCCTGGGTTCAAGCCCAGATTTCTCATTCTGCTCCCTCTGACTGGATAATCTTCTCTTCCCTTCAGGGTCTTGATTTCCAGAGGTAAAAAATGATGATCATCTTACGGAACTTGCCTCAGAGTCTTTGGAATGGGAAAAAAAGGGGGTAGAGTATAGASAGTGCTTAGGCACAGTAARTTTTTAATGATGCCTATTATTTGTTACTTTGGGTGCTGGGGATTGAATGGAGGGCCCCACACATGCTAAGCAGGCCACACACCCCACCCCCAAAGCCTATCATTAAGCCAGTTAAAACCAGAGTTTCCAGGAAAAGCTCAACTCCCTGCTATCCCTGCTCCTACTAGCAGGCAGTTTTTGTGTTTCTGGTGACAGATACAGATTGCATGAGATGCAGACCTCTGAAGCCAAGAACTGTGGCACTTCTTACTGAGGGTGAATAAGTGTAATATCAGAATTTGTTAAAACCCAGAGACAGACACCTTACTAAACCCCAAATAGGAGAACTCTATAGCAAGTCTTCCAAAACTGAGGGCTTTGGTCTAGGAGTTTATAAACCAATCGGTTCACCGCTATTGGTCCAAACTTATGCTAATTAGGGCTTGGAGATGTGCTAATGCTATTGGTCAGTTCTTGAGTCCCAAGCCTGTCCCACTTTCATTTTCTGGTGGCACATCAGGAAGCAGGAGGCTGAGGTCTTGGGATGGGACTGCAGCACTGTGTGACACAGGCTTCTGTATCCATACTGTGCCCAGACCTGGTGGCAGAGACAGGCAGGTCGGTGGCTTTGTCCTGCCTGTGCTTTGGGCTCCATGTGGCAGCAGGCCGGCTTGGCACTTGCCATTCATGAGGCCACTCTACTGCTCCGTGGCTCCTTTTCAGCAAGGACCAGTAGGTTAGCTGTCCCGCTGAAGCTGAGAAGCCATGTCACAATCGATTTTTTTTTTTTTTTTTTGGCGGTCTCGGGAATTGAACTTCCACTGARTTACATAACCCAGCCCTTTTCATATTTTATCTTGAGGCAGAACTTCACTAAATTGGCCAGGTTGACCCCAAACTTGCGATCCTCCTGCTTCAGCCTCCCACACTGCTGGGATGACACGCATGAGCCACCGTGCCTTTCTTTGTGGAACCTCTACTGTTTTCTGTGTGATAAACTGCTACCCATCCTTCAAGACCTGGCAACAACGCTTCTTCCTGTGGTCTCTCTCCTGCACACCCAGAACTGATTAATTCTCCCTTTTTGGAAGGACATTACTAGAAGGCTGGGTACCCAGGTTCATGACTACACATTATATTCTGATTTCCTTGTATCTCCTCCKTACACCTCTAGTCCCTCCATGGCTATAACCCTGATCTATTCACCTCAAATTTCTCAGCACTTAACCACAATTAATTTTTCCTATTGAATTATCTCACTTTTCTCTGCTTCTACCACCCAGGAGTCACCATTTYATTCATGGTGGCCTTAGGGTAACAGTTTTGGTTACTGGTTTCTCGGCCTCTTTTCTGCCTACACCAATCTAAGCTAACGGCTCACTCCAACAGGTTGGTATTCAAAACCCCTGAAGGAAAGGAGAGAGAATTGTGAAAAGAACCACAAGGTGGAGCCAGACCTGAGTTTTAGCTCTGGTTTTGCTACAGAATGATGTGACATGGCATGTAGCTTTAACATTATCTGTTAAATAGAAGCAATTACCTCCTTCCACAGGGTACTAGAGGGGGGATAAATGAGAAATTCATGTGAAAATACGCCCAGTTACCTAAATGTTAGATATTACAACTTTCTTTTTTCCTTCTTTCCTCTTTTTGAAAGTGGGGTCCTTATTGCCCAGGCTCAATCAATCCTCCTGCTTCAGCCCTCTAAGTAGCTGGGTCCACAGGTGTGCACCACCATGCTTGACCCATTGTTGAGATGCAGAGTATATAGGGGCAGAATGAGTAGCTATAAAGTGTCTGTCCTGGGTATCAAGCTGCATCCTGAAACTCCAGGTGATCTTGAGCAAATGTCTGTGGTCGTAAATGAAAAAGAGACCTCTAAGATCTTTTCTACCCTCAGGTTCTGTTTGATCCAGAAACCACATCTCGCCTGATGTGAGACCAATCCCCAAGGCAAAGGGACAGAGAGTCTTCTCTTCCCTTAAAATTAAACTCAAATATCAGAGGACATGTGTGCAGTCTTTTTCTATTTGTGGAGCACTTTCGTATCCATCATTGGATTATTAGGAAGAAATCACAGCCAAATATTAACAGCTTTTAATCTCCAGATGGTGGAATTTGGCATATTTTAAAATTTACTTGTGTTTTAAACCTTCAAAATCTCCTTCAAGTTGGGCGCGGTGACACACGCTTGTAATCCCAGTTACTCGAGAGGGTAGCCTTAGCAACCTAGTGAGAACCTGTCACAAAAATAAATAAATAAATAAATAAATAAATTTTTAAAAAATTTTAAAAAAGAGCTGGGGATGTAACTCAGTGACAAAATGCCCCTGGGTTCAATCCCTAATACCCACCTCCCCTCCAAAAAATCCTTCAATTTAAAATCATAAAGAAATGATGGTTGCACAACATTGTTAAAGAACAAATAGCACTGAACTGTATACTTTAGAATAGTTAATTCTATATATGAGGCTTTGCTTCATTAGAAAAAATCTTCAACACACACGATTTTATAGTCATTTCTTAAAACTGTGGCTTGAGGAGAGAGTTACAGAAGATTCCTTAGACACAGGAGCAGTTTAGGTAGCTGACATGAACCTGCACCTCCCACCCATCCCCCAGACCGGCTTAAAGTTGCAGCTCAAGCCAGGCCTGCAGAGCGCTCCTCCGACCACCAGGGGACTCTGCAGAACTCCGGCGTCCTCACACACCGGCGCGCGCCGTCTCTTGCGCCTTTGARGCGCGTGTGCGTGAGGGGCGGGGCCGGGAGAGGAAGCTGCGCCTGCAAGACCGCCGCCCACCTGAGCCTCACACGATGCTCCTCTCACCTTCGGTTCTGACAGACCGACCGCTCCAACTGCGTGCGAGTGTTTGAAGTCCCACCTCTCCACTCAGTCGTCATACGTTTGAGCGGGTGTCCCCACTTCCATTTCCTCACCCTTAACCACTTGTCCCTGCTACTGTGTTCCTTCGCCCTGCTCCGCCAAGGGTCCTCGGTTTTCTCTCAGCCTCTGACCCATGGCGCTGCAGGCGCTGCACAGCTCGGGGGTGGCCTTCCGCAAGATCCTGTCTCACTTCCCCGAGGAGCTGAGCCTGGCTTTCGCCTATGGCTCCGGGGTGTACCGCCAGGCGGGTCCCAATTCAGACCAGAAGGTGAGCCCGGCCCCAGAGACCGGACCTTCCCCATGCGGCTTCCCCGCGGTCCGCCCCATTGCCAGGATTCTGCTCGTTCTCCCTTCGGACCCCTAGGGTGGCCTGAGCGCTCCAGGCGTCAATGAGGAGGATGCAAATCGTTCAGAAGTGTTCTTAGTATAACGAGAACGTGAGCTGAGTTTTGAAGGATAATTTAGGAATCCACTTGGGAGCTGCAGTTAGGTGAAGGGAAAAACTGTTGCTAAATTCTAATTCAGTGTTCAACCTGGATACTACGTTGGAATTTTCTAGGGAGCTTTAAAAAAAAAAAAAAAAAGAATTGCTGGGTTCTACCTGAGATTCCTGATTTAACTCKTCTAGAATGGGGCTGGGCTTCAGGAATTTGAAAAACGTCGCTTGATTCTCATGCGCAGCCAAGTTTTGAGCGCCTATCTGCAGCTGTGGGAGAAAATACAAAATAATCCTCTGATTTCAAGGAAATTGATGAATTGTCTGTAGGGCCAGGGCAGGTACCGTGAAGGTAACTAAGGACAACAGTTCGTGGCTAGCCGGTGTATGCACTTCATGCTCAGCATATTTAACAAGTGTCTAGTGGGGACTAAACATTGTTACTCTTCAGAGTTGGCTGAGCACAACAGCAATATAATTTTCATTGTGATTTACAGAATTCAGTGTGAAAATTGCAATAGGGACTTAGATACTTGGCTGTAATTTGCCTTTTGGTTAAAGTTTGCCTATTCACTTCCTGGTGAGGCTATCTACAGCCTGGATTTCCTATCTATGCTGTTACAATGTTGTTCTTTAAATTGGCAGCATATGAAGTTGTGTGAGAAATTATAGTATGATCTAATTACTTTTCTAATATACATTTACATAATTATAGATCTTTAAGAATGTTTACCCATGTCTTCCTCACATCTTAAGTATCACCAGTGGTTTGTGGATCACAGTGAGGGAAACCCAGAGCATCCTTTAGTCTCCTGTAGACTCTTCATCATTTTTCAGTGAAGGTTTTCCTTTGAGTAGAACTGGAATTCCCTCCAAAAAAAAAAAAAAAAAAAGATTCTTTCCTTACCCTCACTCTCATCCCCTACATTCAAGTTAACAAACCTTGTATATTCTAATACTGAATCTCCTCCAAACCAGTCTCTACCCCAAGTGCCTCGCCTCAAACTTTTTTGTTTCTCCCCTGGAATTTTTTAGTGGTTACCTAYCAGATTTCCCTCATCCTTTATCTCCACTCTCAAGTTAGTTCTTCTGCAGGAAAGTTTTCTAGCATGGCAAACAGCCTCTCTGGTCCTATCTCCCACAACATAAGTATGTTTTGTTCCAGTAGCACCAAACTGCAGGTCCAGAACATGCCTGACTGTCTCCTACCCATAGAAGTAGTTTCCTGTACATGGCTCAGTGCCTTCCTCATGCTTCCCCAAGTACTTTTACCAGCCCTGTTTCCCTTGAATGCCTTCTTCAAGACTCCTACTTAAATTCCCTAGAAACATTCCTACTTCTTGTTCTCTTGGATCTGACTTTTTTTTTTTTTTTTTTTGTACCATGGATTGAACCCAAGGATACTTAACCATCAAGCCACATCCTCAGCCCTTTTTGTTTTTTATCTTGAGACAGGGTCTCAGTAGGTTCCTTATAGCCTCATTAAGTTCCTGAAACTGGCTTTGAACCTGCAATCCTCCTGCCTCAGCCTCCTAAGCCATTGGGGATCTGCCCCCACTCTTAAGTGATATTAGTACATTATGCATTCCTCTATCAAGTCAAGTTGTGTACTCCCTCCAGTAGACTGAGCTCTTCTACCCTAGGACCCATCAGAACTCATAGGTACTTTATTAGTAGTTGTGAATGACTTATTTCCTTTTACATACTACTTAGTAGAGTTTGTCCAAGTGATCTTTGATCTGGAAGAAAAGTGGAACACATTTAACTGCAGTTAGGTGAAAGGTAATGAGCACAATTATTCAGCACACAGAATTTATTACCATGCTCCTTAGGTCTGTGGCTAATTAGCCCTGTGTACCAAGGCACAGTGCTTATCCTGGACATTGGTTTCCTTTCCTATAAAATTGGAATATTGCATACCTACTTTGTAGAATTATTGTGAAGATAAAGTAAGTTGCTGTRTATATTATATATAAAGTGCTGACATAGTACACATTAAATTAGTATTTGTATTAAAACAAAGCTCACATTGCTTTCAGAGATTGGAGACCCTAGATCTTCTGCTAATCATAATAGCACAATATTTGGGAGGGTTCCACTCCATCTAGCCACTTTTCCAGGAATTAATGAACTCATTCTCTTTTCTTTACAGAATGCAATGCTGGATTTTGTGTTCACAGTAGATGACCCTATTGCATGGCATTCAGAAAACCTGAAAAAGAATTGGAGCCACTACTCATTTCTAAAAGTTTTAGGGCCCAAGATGATCACATCTGTCCAGAATAACTATGGCGCTGGAGTTTACTACAATCCATTGATTATGTGTGATGGTAGGGTAAGTGACGTTCGTTGGGCCTTTGTCTTAACTTGGCTAATTATTAACCTTTGTTAAAAGAGCACCAGTGAAATATGTATGTTTGTGCAGRTAGGAAAGGGTCACACTCCTGCTGGATGTTCTGAACCCAGGGACAGAGCAGGCRCTGGAGTCCTCAACTCCCCTTCATTGTGATTGCAGTGTGAGAAGGTGATTGAATGTTACTTTTTTTTTTTTTTTTGCCAATTGGTTCCCAAGTTTTAATCTGTTGCACACACAGATTGCAGGGATCCACCCCCAGAGTTTCTGATTCAGTAGGTCTAGTTGGAGCTGGAGAATTTGCTTTTCTAACAAGCTTCCAAATGACACTGAAACCAAAGGTCTAGGAACCATACTTTGAGAACCCTGGTTTGGTCAGTGTGAGGAATAGGCAGCCCTATTCAAGATCAGGGTGGAGATCAGTCTTATCTAGAAGGAGGAACAGACACCCCCAGGAAGAAATTGGAAGTGAAGGGGGCATTAAGGGAGACTGGTAGTCTGTGAGGCCAAGTAATAGACAGGAACCTCTTGGTGTTAACACGTGAGTGGGATTCAAGAGTGGGGTGTTAGAGGGCAAAGGTCCCCAAAGAGGGATTGTCTGACATCAGAGACTCTTGCCTATCTTTTAGACGAGAGACAGCCCAGAGGTTTGGGTTGTAGCTTAGTGGTAGAGTGCTTGCCTAGCATGTATGAGTTCCTGAGTTTGATCTATAGCACTAGCACTACCAAAAAAAAAAAAAAAAAAAAAAAGCAAACCAGATGAAGCATTCCAGTATCTTAAGAGGACTGTCAAGAGCTAAGTGGATCCCCAGAATATGAAGACGAGTGGGGATCTAACTCAGTTGCCTCCTGGAGATTAGTTGGGTTAGGAATGAGGTATGGGCTTCACTTGCTAGACTGACACTCCTGCTGATTTTTAGAGCATACTTACAGGCATATGGATCACGTGGGGATCTTTTAAAGTGCAGATTCTGATTGAGTAGTGTGGGATGGAACCTGAGATGCTGCATATTTTACAAGCTGTCTGGTAATGCTCATGTAACTGCTCAAAGGATCATGCGTTAAAGGGCAGGAGACTGGAATACTGACTTGAGAAGGATCTGAAGTATCTGAACTTGGCTGAGGATAAGTGCTGTGATTGGTGATGTCTGTAAACCCTTAAGGCCATCTGTTTGCTTTTCTGGTTGAGGTCCTATCCTACTTCCCTTGCATTTTTTTTCCCTTTTATATGGTACTAAGGTATGAACCCAGGGGCACTCTACCACTGAGCAACTTCCTCACCCCTTTTTAAATTATATTTTGAAACAGCTTCTTGCTGAGTTGCTCAAACTGGCCTCATTCTTATAATCCTCCTGCCTGAGCCTCTGAGTAGCTGGAGTTCCACCTGTGCACCACTACACCTAGTTGCGCCTGCATTTTGCAGATGAGGAAATGAAGGTTTAGAGAGAACACCTTCCATAAGGTCAGGCACCTAGTTAGTGACAGGCTCCTTGATTTCTAGGCTTGTGCTGTTTCTACTGTCCCCCCTCCTGCCCCCCAGCTATTACTTGCCTGTAGCAAGAATTGTTTCTGCAGYCCTGTGGCCTAGTGGAGGGAAAATCCCAACCTTCCACTTCCACTTATTCATGCAAAACACATAACTGTGTTCTTTATCCATAATTAATGTTATGCTGAGCCTATCTCTAATTAGTAACTTTCAAACAGTATTACAAGCTCCAGTAACTAAAGGTTTAGTCAAAATTGTATACCAAGGGGACTGTACATTTTAATTGAAATTCTTTGGATGCTTTTTACATATGTGCAGCCTGGGAAGGCTATTTGGATACCAAAGTTGAGTAAAGTAGATCTGAAGGTATTTGTTAACACAAACAGGACTTTGTAAACTGGGAAATCTACATTCAGGGTTTATACAAATTATTATAGAAATTGACTTGACCATATTCCATGTGTTTAGCACTGATAAAGAGGTTTTATTTGGGGATGTTGCTTTGTAACTATAAGCCTTTCCAAGTCAACAGCAATAGAGGARTTGACTATGTAAAGGATATCTGTAAAAACTTTTAATTAAAGAAACTTTCTGTTACTTTGCAATGAAAAGAACATTGGGAACTGAAATTCTAGGATCTAGTTTGTTTATTTGTTTGTTTTTGTGGTACTAGAGATGAAACCTAGGGCTACATGCATGCTAGGTAAGCACCTCTGAGTATATTCCCAGCCTTGTATTTTGTTTTGGAGAGTGACAGGGTCTCTCAGTATTTTTTGGGCTGGCCCCATACTACAGGCTCAAGCCATCCTCCTGCCTCAGCCTCCCAAATATCTGGGTCTATAGGTACATACTATGCCTGGCTCTAGGACCTAGTTTTAACTCTGTTAGTACTGTTGCCATTTGGGGTATTTAATTTATTCTTTCTGGGCCTCAGCTTTTTATTTCTCAGATGGAAAACATGAACTAAATCAATATTTCTCAAACGTTTGGAAAGGACCAGTTTATTTTTTTTTTATTTGTTTTGTTTTTTTGCAGAATGGTGTCTAAGAGCCATTCTGCCTTTAACATCACATGGACCTAAGTTTGTGATCACCTCACCTCCTGTACTTTGAACTGTATCTTGAACCATATCTGAGTTCCAAATCTGTTTTAGACATTAAACCTCTCAAAGTGTTTTGGTGGAGATGTGGGTGTTTCCATGGAAGGCATTTTGAGTGACTTTGGAAATCAAGGTCCTACTCTGGTCCAGAATTTGATGTGTTTCCTTATGTTTTGTACTTGCATAAGAAACAACCTRATATTTGGCTTTTTTTTTCCACCCATTTCTTTTCTTTTTCAGCTTATCAAATATGGGGTTATTAGCACCAGTATTCTAATTGAAGATCTCCTTAACTGGAATAACTTATACATTGCTGGACGCCTCCAAAAACCGGTGAGTGTGTGTTTTTTTAGGCTGCCATAATTAGGGTGCCTCTGAACCTGACTTGACTTTGATCCTTGTGATTGCAACGAGATGGAACTCTAGGAAATGGAAATGCCTATTAGATCCCTCCTTCTTCTACCTATAAAATTCATTACCAATGTCCAGATATTACTTTGTGATATTGTGACATAATAAGAAATATATGGTTGGTTTTTGTCTTTGGCTTGTGGCACAGAGCTCCTAAAAGCCTTAGAATTCCTAAGTGTTAGGAGCAACAAGTCCCTTTCAACCATACCTGAGTTCATCTAATGAGGGCACTCTTTTTTTTTTCTTTTCCTTCTGGCTTGAACCCAGGGCCTCATGCATGTGCATGCTAGGTAAGCACTAAACCACTAAGCCCCATCCCCAGCCTTCCCAGGTGACCCTTGGTGGGCCCTAGATAGCTTCAGGATAGGGGCTGGTTACCAGAGAAACCACCAATGTGCTTAGTGGGCTGGAACTTTCATCCCTACCTCCCATTTTCCACCCACCTCTGGAAGGGGTGAGCGGCTGGAGATCGAGTTACTCTCAGTGGCAGTGAATTAATCAGCCATGCCTAGGTAGTGGGACCCCCATAAAACCCTCAATAACAGAGTTCTGAGAGTTTCCATGTTGATGAATAAATACATTAAGGTGCTGGGAGGATGGGGCCTTTAGAGTGGGCGCAGAGCTCAGTTCCCAGTCCCACCCAACGATACCTTGTCCTCCTCCTACTACTACTTCTATTCCTCCTCTTTTTCCTCTTTCTTCTCCTTCTCCTCCTTCCTTCCTTCTCCTCCTCTTCTTCTTCTTCCCCCTCCTCCCTCCTCCTTATCTTCTTCATACTCCTTCCCCCTACTTATTCCTTCCTCATCTCTCCTCCCTCCTCCTCCTCCTCCTCTTCCTCCTTCTCCTCCTTCATATGCTTGGTATCAAACCTAGGGTCTTGCACATGTTAAGTATTTTACCACTGAGCTACATCCCCAACCCCTGCATCACTCTATTTAGCTGATCCTGAGTTGGATACTTTAGAATAAGCTGGTAATAGTAAGTAAGCCTTCCTGAGTTCTGTGAGCCCTTCTAACAAATTATCAACCCAGAGGAAGGGATTGTGGAAATTTACAGCTACTTAGTTGTGTGGGATTGAGCCCCTAACTTACGGATTCTCTATATAGCTCGAGATAGATAATATCAAAATTAAATTCTATTGTAGGACACACAACTGGTGTCCAAAAAGTTGGAGAATTGGTTGGTGTGACAGAAAAAGCCCTACACATTTGGTGTCAGATGCTGGGAGTAAAAGACAGATTGTCCCCTTCAGGTACAGGGTTAGTCCATTTGGGGAGTTGACAGAGAAGGTGTCCAGTGCCTTAGTGGCACCTCTGTCAGTACTATGTACATCATCATCTTCTCTTCTAGAAGCTCAGGGCACTACGTGTCCACTGTTGTCTCCTCGAAAAAGACAGGACAGTGTCTGTCACATAGAAAGCAGTCAGTAACTGTTGAGTGAATGAATGAGTCAGGCCGTCATTCCAGGGGAGAATGGTATTCTGGACTCTGTTTTATCCTCCTGAGGCCAGTGGTGATGTCCTGTCAGTATGTTCTTACCTCATTGGGGATGCTCCCAAAAGAGACTGTGGGGTTTTGGCTTCTCCATGGCTTTGATAGAAAGGAAYAGGGACAAAGAAGTGGGAAGGAACTTGAACTTTTAACAAGTGTTTGCAACTATCATCTTCTTTCTTTTTTTCAAAAGTATGGCCTATTTTCTGAGAAAAAAAAAAAAAAAGCTTCTTCTTTTTTAAGAACTACTTGAGCCAGATGCAATGGCATACATCTAGAATTCCAGTAACTCAGGAGGTTGAGGCAGGAGGATCACAAGTTTAAGACCAGCTGCAGCACCTTAGCAAGAACCAATCTCAAAATAAAAAATAAAAAGGGCTGGGGATGTAGCTCAGTGTTAAAGTGCTCCTGGGTTCAATCCCCAGTACAGCAAAAGAAAGAACTGTGCTAACTAGTCACAGTTGTCAATCTCACACACCTCCCAAGGAAAATTTTTATTATACTGACCAGGTCTTAGGCTCCAAAAATAGCAGATGGGTTGTTCTCAGGTATCTCCCATAACAGCAACCCCTACCTCCTTTTATAGTGAGCTATGGGGAAAAATTAGAGATTTCTACAGTCATAGTTCATTTGGTCTGTGTCAGAAAAATTTCTTTATTTGTGTATATGGGCTGTCAAGATGCTCTTGCTTTGAACCTGGGCTTAAAATTTAGTAGTGTAAATGGAATTTTATTCAGAAAGAATAAAACAAAGAACAAATTCTGTCATTTGCAGGAAATTGGATGGAACCAGAGATCATAATTTTGAGTGAAATAAGTCAGACTCACAGTATCATATGTGAAAACTAGAGATATGTTTTCTTTCATATATGAAAGATRGAGGGATGAAACTGGGAGGAAAAAAGAATTCAGTGAAAATAGAAGGGAGACCACTAAGGTAGAGGAAGTAGAGAAGAGGAGGGRAATTGGGGGATGCTAGGAAGTGAAACTGACCAAATTACACTTTATTTATATATGTATATACCACAATGAAACCCCCACCCTTCTATATAAATAATATRCACCAATAAAAAACAGAAAAAAATTGTATAATTCATTAAAATATGCAGAAATACTTGAGCATATTATACATGTATRCACATGTGTAAAAATTTATCAAGCCAAATCTTTCAAATATGTACACTTATAAATTTTCCTTCAGTAAAATCATTTTATAATTATGCTTATTATTATTATTATTATTTGGCAGTGCTGGGGATCAAGCCTAGGGTCTTGCACATACTAGTCGAGTGCCCTACCATTGAGCTACATTTCCCCACCCAAGAAAAACAGATTCTTTAAAAAAAAAAATTTTTTTTAATAGTTGTAAATGGACAGAATGCCTTTATTTTACTCTTTTTTTTTTTTTTAACCTTTTTTTTTAATTTTTATGTGGTGCTGAGGATCAAACCCAGTGCCTTACACATGCTAGGCAAGTGCTCTGCCACTGAGCTACGGCCCCAGCCCGAGAAACAGATTCTTATTAAACCTAAGGAAATAACTGTATTACCATAAAATAAGAATATTCACCATAAATTTTAAAATTTTGCAGGGATGATTAAGTAGGGAGAAAGGAAAGGTTGTAATTTCCTTTTGGAGTATACTTTACCAAATCTCTATAATCCATAAATAGCCCCAAATAGAAAAAGAAAAAATTTCTGTGTCTGACAAACAAAAGAATTTGCCAGGTGCTTTTTGTTTTGTTTTGTTTTGTGTGTGTGGTGCTGGAAATGGAACCCAAGGCCTCACACATGCTAGGCATGTGCTCTACCACTGAGCCACACCCCCAGCCCATACATACATTTTTTWAACATCCAGAAACAATAAGCTTACTGAAATAATTTCAAATATCTATAGATGAATTTCTCATTCTTAGACTGGATAACAGGTAAAGCTCATAATTAAGCAAATAAATGCAATTGAAAATATATAAATATTCATTTTACTTCTAAGGGTTTTATAATTTTAAAAATGTTATTGATAGGAAGATAAATGAATGTGGAATTAGAAGTGTTTGGTCATATTAATTCCTACTGCTTRTTAGGAGTTTATACGAACTCAGGCACCTGGTTTTATCTTTCTGAATGTCCGTCAATTCATGTGTAAAATAGGGATAATAGTACTTACCCTGCCAACGCCCCAAAAGTGTTGAAAATTGGAAACAGAGTATTAATGTTGGGAAGAACATGGGCATTTTAGTTAGAGTCTGAGAGAGCTAAGGTTAGGATCTCAGTTGTGACCCTTACTAATCTTGTGACCCTGTGTCACCGATAGAGTCCCTCACACCTTGGGATATTTTCATCTGTGGACAAGGGTTCTGAAATTCCTGATACTTCAGAACCATTCAGAAAAATGATATTTCCCTTCTCTTCATCCCTGGCTTTCTCAGTTATGTTGAGATCAAATAAGATCAAATACAAAAATATTGCATTATGCCTGGAATTTTTTAAATTAAAAAAAAAATGGTGTTAGAAACCTGAGATGCCCTGAAATCTAAGAATGTAAGTACTGGAAATTATCTTTTTGTTTTGTTTTGTTTTGTTGTTTTGATTTTGTTCTGGGGATCGAACCCAGGGCCTTGCACATGCTAAGTATGTGACCTGCTGAGCTACACCCTATGGCCTGATCTCAGAATTTATCTAAATGTCATATGTTCTTGTAAAATAAAAGCAGTCCAAGACAAGGAGTAGCAGCTACATTTACCTTAAACAAAACTGTGCATTTATTGCCTAATTTAGAGAATAAAATAAAAGCTTGCCATGGTAGCTCACACCTGAATCCCAGGGTCCTGGGAGGCTGAGGCAGGAGGATCACAAGTTTGAGACCAGCCCCAGCAATTTAGTAAGACCCTGTCTCAAAAGAAAAAATAAAAAGGGCTGGAGGTGTATCTCAGTGGTAGAGCACCCCTGGATTTAATCACTAGTACCAAAAAAAAAAAAAAAAAAAAAGACTTATCTTTTTAAAAAGTGAAAATGATAAACAGGTGAAGTGACTCCCTCCTGCTCCTGCCCCCAGTTTTTTCCACTCCTGTGGAAATCACAGTTAAGCGGACTTCTTTGTGGTAAGTCTTTCAGCAATCATTTTTCCCTCTAGGTGGCAGCAAGTATTAATCAAACTTGAGCAAATCTGTTGGAAGGATAGTAGCGTTTTCAACAAGAAAAATGGGTGGTTATTTTAAGAATTATGAGAAAGAGTACGAATTCTTTGTTTTTATGTTTTAAAAGCAGTTACATTGTTATATTGTCTAAAACTCCAAAATTGTCTTGCACTTTGCAAATTGAAATAGAATTCCTCAATTACTTGCAAGTTAAATCTTTAAAAGGAATATACAGGAGTTAAAAAGATGGACATTTCTGGGAAAAATTGAGTCTAAAATTAAATTTCTGTTATACT